TGATCCAAACTTAGCAACATTACATCACTGCTGCAATGGTTTTGGGTCCATTAAACGTATTGTTGTTCCAGAACATTGTGTCACTGGTGTTACCTACCCGGGGCAATGCTGTCTGGATTTGGCACAATTGTTGCATTAGGTGTGTCAGATGGCACTTTAGGTGGTTGGTCGACACCCGAGTTGTTCTCGCTGCTGTGGCTGTCTGCGGCATTCCCATTCTCAGTTTGAGAAACCAATGTGTTCTAAAAGAAAGATGGAGATGTGCTTAAAAGAAAAGTTAAAATGCAAATTTGTATCTGTTGTGATTGAAAGTTCATCCTTGACTTCAGTTTAGTTGACTAAACAATGTCACCACTTAATAGGGTGAAATGGGGTGATCATTGTCTTTTTTCTTTTTTTCTTTTTGGCCACTTGGGGGCAGAGTTGTAACACAGCACTGACATAATACTAATTGGCAAATTTGTTAGCAAACAGATGCACATTCAGCGAATACGGAGAAACATTAGGATTCATTTAGAGCCGTGTTTTTGGCCACCAGTCCATTCATATCTGCCATTTCGTGCTGGGCAGGTAGGGTAGAGTGGGTTTTAGTGGCTGCCTGCTATTGCTGGAGACGACAGTGATGAGAGACTGAACCGAAAGAATAAAGTTGAGGGTTCAAAAACAAACAAAGATGTGAGAAATGCTCCATAGAGCCAAGGGAAACTGAAGGACTACAAGCAATAGCTTACAAGTAGTCGTTTTAATATGAATATTTATTATAGCAGTTTCAAGGACTTTTTATCCATGTTGGCTTAAAAAGACAAATGTGAGCAAACTCAGCTGAGGAAGATTGTGTGTTAAACCAAAAGCTTTGCTACCAACACAGAACAGAGGTGTGCTCAGAAAAATGGAAAATTGATTTTCCATGACAACTGAGCAAACTAAGTGTGCTGAGGAAGATCGTGTAATGTGATTGAAATCTCCAGAACAGCTATTAAGTGGACGTCATGGTGAGTTTGTTTTATCAACGGTTTCCTAACTCATGACACACTGAATTCTCTTTTGACAGATTTTAAAAGAATTGTCTGACTTATCTATATTTATTGAATTATAATGAAAAATGTGATTTGCATGCACAGTACATTAGTGAAACAAAGTTTTCGGCTTTTATATGTTGCTATTTTCACAAACCTCAATTTTACATGTTGCTGACAACGGCAACAATAAACAGAGAAATTGTCTGTGTGTCCTCTCTTGCATTTAACATTAGAAACATTGTTTCGTGTGCTAAAAAAAAAAAGGTACTGCAGCCCAAGCAACCAGCTTTCATCCCTCTGAAAGATATTTATGATGATTTACTGCAGGACTTCCTCAGGAAATGTTGACAATTTGAAACAAAATCCCTCCGTTGCCCCGAGCAATAAACAAACCAGAGATATGTGAGTCCTTCTCACTTCAAAGATATGGGAAAAAACTTCCCTGAAGCATAATAATTATTTTATCTACGGACTTCAAGAGGGCAATGAAAAGCACACAAGGGCACCACACAACTAAATGAAAGAGGATATAACTAGAGCTGCTAATTAATGAGATATAACAAAGAGAAACTTTGTTTGTTTATCTTGATTAAATTTTACAGAGAGCTTTTGTACATAAATTGCTTTATGTGTGACCAGGTCAGGCTAAGATAGGTACGGCTAGGGGAAAGAAAATGCTGACTTGGCACACTGCCCATCCATGCACAAAGGGACATTAATAAAGCTACTTATGACCAGCTGAAAGACTTTCATAACTACTATTCTGTGCAGGCCCATGTCTGTAGCACGAGTCAAATAAACACTTCAAGTGCCTAATCTTTCCCACATATACTTTGTCGGGATGTAAGGTATTGTGCAAATGTTTTTCATGCGATGGAGGGAAAAGATGTGGTGAAAATGGATGATTGTGCATGACGAAAACACACTCTAGCAGTGTGACAGTGTTACAATAAGCCATTTATCAAAGTGTATTTAATGGCTGGCTGTATCCATATCAATGTACTGTAAATGTATTTGTATATTAAAAAAAAATAATAATAATAATTTTTTGCATTCTTGCTGAGAATTAGATTGCTTTTACTCACATGTCTATTTGCTACGTATGGGGCTGAAGCAAGGAGACGATTAGCTTAGCATAAAGACTGGGGAAATTGGGGTAAACCTGCCAAGCTATCACATATCCATACAAACATAAAAGTGTTACGTAGTTCTACCTATAGGGATGGCAAAATCCAAGCTCTCAGCTAAGGAATAGGCCAGTCCAGGAAATAACCGAAGATGTTTTCGAAGATCTTTTTATGGGTGTTAGTAGATGAAATGTTTTGACTTCCGGACAGAGCCGTGGTTAGTTGTTTCCCCCTGCATCCTTTATGCTAAGCTCAGCCAACCACCTCCTCCTGGCTCCAGCTCCATAGTTAACATACAGACTTGTGAGTGGTTTTGAGGTTCTCATCAAATTCTTGCCAAGAAAGTGATTCAGTGTATTTCCTGAAATTGTTTCCTACTTCTTTAACTAACAATTTAGACAGAATTGACTTGATAAGATGCAATGTTTTTTGTGGTGTACGTGTTCATTGATGCATGGTTATTACATCACAGTTCCTACTTACATTGAGCTGCTTGTTGTTTTCATTCTGGATGCTCTCAAAAGTGTATTTTTCAGAGCGTCTCTGGCGCATTTTGAAGAGACGGGAGCCACGGTTTGAGGCAAAAGACAGCTCCTCCAGCATGATGTCCTTAGGCACGCTCACTTTCTTCCCAAGATCCATCTCTATATCTGGACACAAGGAGACAAACACAAGACTTAAGATCTTGTGTATACAATATATACTTGTAAATTGATCTGATTTCTGACAAGACAATTTATTTTCTGACAAGAAAATTTCATTTTCCTATATACTCCCATCTATCAAACCTCGTTGAATACATTATATTCACACACAAAAAAAAAAGCCCTCTGCATGGACTGCTGTCTTGGTATTCCTGCCAATATTATGTATGAGGAATTATCTTTGCTCGTAATCCACTCATGTCCAGTGCTTGTTTTGTGGTTAGCGCTGCGTGCTAGCTACTGCATGCTGATCGTGGAGATGTCACAGGCCTATATCCAAGTGTGAGACACATAATTTGCCAGAATATCTTTCAGCTGTCAGTAGCCTTCAGGCCCTCCCTATCCCAGCCACACAGTTGTCCTAGCCCTGAAATAGCGTGTTCAAAGGACAACGACAAAGGGATTAGTTTCTTTGGCCCATAAAAGTATTCATTTGCTTATTTATAGTCAGTGCAGTAGAGGGGAGGGTTGGCAACTGCCGCTGTAGCAAATGGTGGGCTCATACCTTATATAAAGTGAATGTGGCAGCGTCCAGTGCATGTGTGTGTCAGGCATGATGAGCTGGTGTTTACAGTAACTGTAATAAGCCTGAGAATCAAATGTGTACTGTAAGATATGGTGTTAAATCCTCATCTATGACGTGTGATAAAAAGTGAATGTAGAGAGGTGAAAGGAGCAGGATGTGAAGAGAAGGAGAGAAGGTGAGATGGAAACAGAAGCAAAGAAAGGATTCAACAAAAGAAAGAAGGAGAAACAGAGTTCAGAGGGATCAGAAAACAAGGAAGTGAAGGGGAAATCATACAGCTACCTTCCTGGGCTTGAACCTCCCTGCAGATTGCTGCTGCCTGCATTTTCCTGTCCCTCGTCGTCATGGTGGAGAACTGTGACATGGCTGCCCCTGGGGAGTCAGGGGTGAGGCAAAAAGTCACAGGAGACAGTACACATCAGTACAACCTGTTCAAACGTACAATGAGACACAAAGGCAAATCAACGCGACTGCATGTTGGCCATCGATTGGCCAACATCAAGCATCCATACTACGCACAAAGACCCACTGAAGCAGATAGAATTTATTGGGGCAGTGAAAAGGGCAAAGTTAGCACATCCCTTTAAATAACCTTGGGCTGTTAAACGCCAAGCACATGCTCTTCAGACATGGCAACCAGCTGTGTCAGGGGTCTGGGAATCAATATGTTTGAAATTACCCAAGTGGGCTGAAAGGACACAGATAGAGAACATGGTGCTGTCACAGCAAACACGTGAGACAGCAGATGTAATAGTGCAGCAGAAAGTTTACACCAAGGTGTCAGTGAACACGACACAAACGTTTCATTCCAGGCCAAAATACTTTTCACAAAGTTTATGGATGGAACAAAGGAGCATTTCATAGCAAATGGCAAATGTCTTTTCCCCACAAAAATCACTCTATCATTTGGAAATCACTGGTTTTGACTGAGTAGATAAAATGCAAGTGCACAAAGTTACATTCTTATCAGTATATATGTATTGTAGCAAAGCACGTTTTGGAATGTATGCATACATGCTACTATTAAGGATATGCTTTGTGTAAAAACTAAGGAAATAAGTAAAAAAGCAGATGCATTTATCAGAAATTTAAAAAAAAATAATTAAAGAAAATTCTGGAATAAAATTCAACTGTAACACGAGGCAAGCTGTGTGATTGACAGAGAAATATAGAGGGAACAACGGTAGGTGGTAGTGAGAGTCATGCTTGATTCAAAGTGCAAGTGTCATGTTAGACCAAGACAGAACACCTGTGGAGAGCCCTAGTGATGACTTACCTGTCCTGAAGGACCCTCAGGGAGGGGGTCTCCTGTTGTGCCTGTCTCCTCGGGGTAGGAATTCAGAAAGGTGAGAGGCAAGAAGGTCAGACTGGGTAGTGCAACCTGTGTGGGCACTTGTGCTCCCCGACACTGGTGCTTGTCGTGGGAGGAGGGGGTTGCAGCCTGACCTGCCTTGCTGAGTGACTGAATGGGTGGGTGGGTGGGTGGGTGTCAGTTTGTCTG